ACTGGCCATATGCGTTGCTTTCGCAGGATGATGTGCAAGGTGTAAACTACAAGATATAAAGAGTAATATTTTAAAAATTTCCAGTGAACTACGAGGTCACTTAATATTAATTATTATTAGTTCCTAATAACTATGATAAAAAAAAAAAGGCGAGATCAATTTCAGATGATCTGATAGTAGAGAGCATTTCGGAGCTATTTATAAATACAAACAAAGATGGCAAGAAAACATGTAAAAGATTGAGCCGAAGGAGAGAGAGGATTAATCAATAAGAGCGTAGATGGAATTTGATTTGTGGTGGTCGATTGTGGCTGTTTTTTAGGAACATATGTTTTCGTACTTGGTTTCCTGAAGAACATAAATCAATGGTACTATGTCAGCAGGTTAGGCGAGAAGCTAGAACTTCTGCCTCCAGGTGCTATGGGCTGGCCATTCATTGGAAACATGTTCTCCTTCCTCAGAGCTTTCACATCTCAAGACCCTGAATCCTTTATTAACAACTTCATTAAAAGGTCAGCCAATTCATCCGCCATTCTATGTATATTCCTCTGTAATTCATTCAACACCTCCATTAATTTCATTGGAATATATATTTTGCAGGTATGGGTGAACAGGTATTTATAAGACCCACTTATTTTGGAGACCAACCATCATAGTTTGCAGTCCTGAAATGTGCGAGAGAGTCTTGACAGATAATGAGACATTTTCAGTTGGTTACTCTCCATCAGTAAATCAATTAGCAGGGAAAACATCACTTCATAATGTTTCACCTTCACAACACAGGGATCTGCGCAAGTTAATAGCCCCTTCGATCTCTGGACATGAAGCATTATCCATGTATATTAGCTACATTGAGGAAATAGTGATTACTTCATTAGAAGAGTGGGCTAATATGAACCAACCAATTGAGGTGATTAAAGAGATGAAGAATATTACTTTCAAGGCCATTACAACAATCTTCTTCGGCTCAATCGGTGATTTGACTCTTGGGTCATTGTTGAAATATTATCCTGATTTCGCCTATGGATATCTTTCTGCATTGATTAATGTACCCAACTTTTCATTTCGTAAAGCATTGACGGTAAAGTTTTTTCTCTTTTATCCAAAATCATAAGAATTCAGACCCATTAATTTAGTTAGAAGTAATACATGAAAAAATCAGTAGATTTTTCTTTTATCAGGCAAGAACAATGTTGAAAAGGATTCTTCGAGCTGAACTAGAAGAAAGAAAAGAAGGAACAAGTAATAAGCCAGATTCAAAGAGGGGCATGATCGACTTACTTAAGGAAGTTGAAGATAAGCAAGGTGAAAAATTGGAGGATGAGTATATCCTTGATCTACTGCTGCTGTGCTTATTTGCTGGTCATGAAAGCTTAGCTCATGCTACAACATGGTCGATCATTTATCTTCATAACAACCCAGATACGTTGCAAAAAGCAAAGGTGAGAAGTGAGTGTTTTTTTTTTTTCTATTCCATTAATTTCAACCCATTATTTTTATTAAGTTCGTTAATTAGGCAAAACTCGGACAAATTTGCATCGAATTATGCCTAATTTAAAGAGTTATAAAATTTAAAATTTAATTTAGTTGTTTATATAATAATTTTTAAAATATGACATTCAACAGATTTAATAATAATTTTGCACTGACAAACTAAATTTCCCATCTCAGGAAAAGCAAGAGATGATAATAAAAAGAAGATCGCCCTCGCAAAAAGGTTTAACTCTCTTGGAAATTAAAAAAATGAAATATCTGGCTAAGGTAAGTAAAATTTTTTGTTCTATTTACTTTGAAAGTGACTGGATATATGAACAACACATTTACATACCAAACTATATGTTAATTATAATTTCTATAGGTAATTGATGAGACATTGCGGATGGCCAATTCATTTTTTGCACAATTACGAGAATCAAAATTGGGCGTTAGTATTGACGGTTAGTCAGTGGATATGCTCAAACTGTCTCTTATAATTTTCCTTCTTTGGTTTCCTATGTATGACTTGCAATTTGCAAATGAAAGCCTTGTGATATGTTTCTAGGTTACACCATACCTAAAGGGTGGGCAGTTTTGGTATGGAGCAGAGCTGTTCATATGGATCCAGAAAATTATTCAAATCCTAAAGAATTCCTTCCTTCGAGATGGGATGTAAGTTGAACAAAAAGCATCCTTTTCCCTGTTGTTATCGTTTGAAATGTTATTGATGTTGTGTGTTGAATTTTCTTGCAGGAACATATACCCAAAGTTGGTTCTTTCAATCCTTTTTCAGCAGGAAATATGATTTGCCCCGGAGCTGACCTAGCCAAACTTGAGATGTCTATTTTCCTTCATTATTTTCTCCTTAATTACAAGTGAGATAACTCTGGTCTTTGCCATGCATCCCAAATTCCCATTAGTTTAAGATAAACTGTCATGCACTAGTTTCAACTTCTAAGTTCCAATTGATAAGCTTGTGAAGGAATTCAATTGAAGGATAATGAGAGAAAAAATTGCGTGATCTTAATGCTTGTTATCTTCTATTTTGGATGTTGATAAAGGTTACGTTATTTTTTTTTTTTTTTCTTTTTCAACTTGTGCAGGCTTGAACAGCTTAACCCAAGGGGCCCAATCAACTATCTGCCTTCAACACACCCTGCAGACAATTGTCTTGCTAAAATCATTAAGCGCCCTTGATTAGTCCCTAGGATGAATTCACTTCTTTTCTCCTTGATTTTGTGCTGGCAGGATTTACTTGTTCTTGAATAAAGTCCATTTTTGGCCGTTCAGGAAATTAAAGAATGCTATAGGTAAATGCCAATTTTCATTCTAATTATTAATTATTAAAAATATATAATTAATGTAATTTTTTTTCTTGAATTCAATGAAAATAGTATTAATGAAAGGAATTTCTTAAAAAATAATACTTTAATTAATCTTAAAAATTGAACTCTTTTGAACGTCAATATGATCAAAAGAAGATGTATCGCACCTCCAGTCCATTTGATTTCAAAGTTTTCTATCACTTTGACAAGGCCTTGTGTGGGTTTCTCTACCTATTAATCGATTTTAACAAATTTATCTTTTCTTTTTTTAAGATAATAAAATTTCAACTAAAAAGAATCATATATATTACAATATACATAAACACTTGATAAGATTTATTACATGAATGTCTATGTAAATAATATTTTTTAATGATACATAGGATATCTTTTTTAATTATAAATTAGATAATTTAAAAATTTTTTCAAACAGTAAAATTATTCAAATTATTCAAATGATCAATATAATTCAATTTAATTGGGTGTTGATCGATTTTTTATCTATTCACCAAAAAGAAGGTTTAATACATTGAATTTGAAGAACATGCTACTGGTTGTCATTGATTTTTCTCTTTTAATTAATCTTATTAAATTATATAATATTCATATGTTCGTTGATATATATATTTAGTTCATGAAGGGACTACCAGTTATTTTATCAATCATTTGCCGGGGAGGAGGGGGATCATATTTTATGACACACAATAGAGATGAGCATTGATACTTTATCTGACAATTGCAATTCGATGGAATTCTCCTACTAACGACAAAAGATGATCTAAGTTATCTACATAGTTCTTACACATTTAATATATTAATATTATTAAGGGATAAAGGTCAAATTTATCACTCTACTAGATTGGGAATTTCATACTTACCATTTTACATTTTTATACAATTTTACCATCTTATTAGGCTACTACATTTTTTTTTTTTATACAATTTTAGTTACCCATGTAAGAAGATAGGATATTTCTTCTGAACTAAAAAATTTTTTATTAAGAATTTTAATTATTTTAATTTTTTATATGAAAAAAATAATTTATTTTAAATTACAAATAAGGATAAAAAATAATTTTCTATGTCCCCCATTTAAACTTTTTTATATTAAAAAATTATAAGTCAAGGAGATCATTTCATATGAGTCATACTTCGTGAAACTTCATAGAAAAATCATACAAGAAACAGTAAGAAGATTCAATTGGAATGAATCAAAGTCAATTTAGGCACGAATCCAAAGCCACAAACAACTATTTTCATATCATTTAGCCCTTGTCTTTGTCTCTCATTTTTTTACTAGTTAACCCCTTTTGTCAATGAAGCATCCTTTTTTTTGGCGTTTAACGAAATAATTGGAGTGAGAAAACGTATGACTTTTATTGCATTTATATATGAAGAATCTATTTGTATTATATAAGTTTGAGTTAGAGAAATTTGTAAATAATTTTTTTTTAAATTATAGCTATTGCGCGTTTTATAAGTTTGAGTCAGAGAAATTTGTAATATTTGTTGAAAAATATAGTCATCTCGAATTATATAAGTTTGAGTCATAATAACTTGTCATTTTTCTTGAAAAGTATAGCCATTACGCGCTATACTTGGAAAGTATAGCCATTACGCGTTATACAAATTTGACAATTTTTTCTTGAAAAGATAGTTATTGCTAATTATACTAACTTGAGTCAGAATGACTTGTGATTTTTTTTTAAAGTATAATCATTATGTATTACACAAGTTTCAGTCAGAGAGACTTGTAGACTATTCAAATTTCAAACACAAATGATCATCACTAATCTAAGTAGACAATGGAAGATGATGCTGAGGTAGAGCAATTTGCAACTATAAATAGAAACAACTTAGAAGGCGAAAAATAAAGAGAGACCAAAAAGGGAAAGAAGGGAAACGAAAAACGAAAATCCAAAATGGGGTTAGAGTTTTTATGGTCAATTGTGGCCGTTGTGGCAGGAACATATGTTTTCCTATTTGGTTTCCTAAGGAAAATAAATGAATGGTACTATGTTAGTAGGTTGGGGAAGAAGCAAAACCCTCTACCTCCAGGTGATATGGGATGGCCCTTCATTGGAAACATGTGGTCCTTCCTCACTGCTTTCAAGTCCCAATATCCTGATTCCTTCATCGGCAACTTGATTAAAGGTTAGTTTTTTTTCTTACAAGTTTTATTTTTTTTTTTTCAGTTGTATGTGTACTGAATTTGGAATTACTGGTGACAGGCATGGAAGAACAAGCATTTATAAGACTTATTTGTTTGGGAGTCCAAGTGTCCATAGTTTGCAGTCCGGAGCTATGCAAGAAGGTATTAACAGATGATGAACACTTTGTATTTTGGCTACCCTTCATCAGCAATACAATTAGGAGGAAAAAAATCGCTGTATGGCATCTCAAATTCAGAGCACAAGCGTTTGCGTAGGCTAACAACGGATCCCATCAATGGCCATGTAGCACTAGCTTTGTACATAGGGCATATTGAAGACATTGTGATCCCTTCGTTGGAAGATCTTGCTAGCAAGAACCACTCAATCAAGTTCTTCAATGAGATGAAACAGATTGGTATCAAGGTTATTGCACAAATTTTCCTCGGGTCCACTCAGGAGGATTTGGTTCTTTCGTCAATGGTTAAGTATTATACGGAGTTGTTCCCCGGCGTTCTTTCCATGCCCATTAATCTCCCTGGTTTTACGTTCCATCGAGCACTCAAGGTAAAGTTTGCTTTCCAATGATAGAAATACTAATATATATTATCAATTTTTTATGTTATGATTTATGAATTTTGATTAACTTGAAATATATATATTAGGCAAGAAAGAAGCTGGTAAAGACAATTCAATCCGAATTGGATGAAAGAAGAGCGAAAACTATGGTATCAGACAGGAAGAAAGGAATGATAGACTTACTTATGGAAGTTGAAGACG